GGGTGGTGCCGGGACAGTGGAGCCAGTGGGAGCTGAGGAAGGAAAGATCACAGTTGAAGGTAATTTGAAGCGGAGGCGAGTGCTGTATTGTGGTGAGACAGGCATCGCACGGAGGGAGAGTTTATTATTATTATTTTTAATAAGGGAGAGAGGCTGAGCCTATGTAAGGCCTAACGGAGGGTTGGAAAGAGAGCGAGAATGCTGGCGAGGAAGAGACCCAGGAAAGCGGTCCTGAGGTGGCCCGGAGCCAGCACTCAGGGCCCTGGCTGGGGTCAGGCCTGGATGTGGGTGGGGTGGGGAATGCTGCTGGAAGGGGTGTTGGGGATACAGGTAAATGCTGCATGTGTGCGTGTCGGGGGGAGGGAGGTGAGGGTGTCATGCCAGATGGCCTGTTTTCTCAGTGATGCAGGAGCATCTGCCCGTAGGTGGGTACTGGGAGAGGGCTGGGTTTAAGGAGAGCCTGGGCTGATGACCCAGAGAAGGGGTGAGCGGCTCTGACGGTCCCGCTTTTCTTATGTGTGTGCAGTGTGTGGGTGCAGGAATGTGTGTGGGTATGTGGTGTGAGCGTGGAGTGTGTGTGCGATGTGTGTGGTGTGTGTGTATGTTGTGTGCTGTGTGTACGTGTGTGTGGTGTGTGAGTGGAGTGTGTGTTTGGTGTGTGAGCATGTATGTTGCGTGGTGTGTGTATGTTGTGGTATGTGTCGGTCCAACGTGCTCCTGCCATTCTGCCCGGTGCAGCCCGTTGCGCCCGGAGCAGGCCAGCCGGAGGATCCTCTAGCCCCAGGAGAGGGAGGGGGCAGTACAAGAACAGAGACTTGAGTTGGCACCAAAATGCTGGCAAAGCCTGGAGTGTTTTGATCTGGTGGCAGCAAGGGAAGGGTTTGCTCCAGGCCACCTTGGAAATCTGGGGCAGAGCCACAGTGACCCCCGGCCTCCCAGTTTCCAAATCCAGCCTTCTCTCTGTTCGCTGTACTGCTGTTGCTAGTTCCTATTTCTTGGCCTCCTACAGTGCACAGGTACTGTGCTTTCTGAATCTCCCCTCAGCAGGCGCTCACAGCAGCCCAGCAGCCCCACAGCTGCCCACTGTGAGGTGCCCTTGCAGGTGCTCAGAGCAGCCCAGCACCCTTGTAGCTGCCCACTGTGAGGTGCCCTTGCAGGTGCTCAGAGCAGCCCAGCACCCTTGTAGCTGCCCACTGTGAGGTGCCCTTGCAGGTGCTCAGAGCAGCCCAGCACCCTTGTAGCTGCCCACTGTGAGGTGCCCTTGCAGGTGCTCAGAGCAGCCCAGCACCCTTGTAGCTGCCCACTGTGAGGTGCCCTTGCAGGTGCTCAGAGCAGCCCAGCACCCTTGTAGCTGCCCACTGTGAGGTGCCCTTGCAGGTGCTCAGAGCAGCCCAGCACCCTTGTAGCTGCCCACTGTGAGGTGCCCTTGCAGGTGCTCAGAGCAGCCCAGCACCCTTGTAGCTGCCCACTGTGAGGTGCCCTTGCAGGTGCTCAGAGCAGCCCAGCACCCTTGTAGCTGCCCACTGTGAGGTGCCCTTGCAGGTGCTCAGAGCAGCCCAGCACCCTTGTAGCTGCCCACTGTGAGGTGCCCTTGCAGGTGCTCAGAGCAGCCCAGCACCCTTGTAGCTGCCCACTGTGAGGTGCCCTTGCAGGTGCTCAGAGCAGCCCAGCACCCTTGTAGCTGCCCACTGTGAGGTGCCCTTGCAGGTGCTCAGAGCAGCCCAGCACCCTTGTAGCTGCCCACTGTGAGGTGCCCTTGCAGGTGCTCAGAGCAGCCCAGCACCCTTGTAGCTGCCCACTGTGAGGTGCCCTTGCAGGTGCTCAGAGCAGCCCAGCACCCTTGTAGCTGCCCACTGTGAGGTGCCCTTGCAGGTGCTCAGAGCAGCCCAGCACCCTTGCAGCTGCCCACTGTGAGGTGCCCTTGCAGGTGCTCAGAGCAGCCCAGCAGCCCCACAGCTGCCCACTGTGAGGTGCCCTTGCAGGTGCTCACAGCAGCCCAGCAGCCCCACAGCTGTCCACTGCGAGTGCTTTGGGCCAATGCCTCCCGGCGCTGCTGCCCCAGGGGTGTAACGTAGCAAAGCTACTCTCCTTTTCCTCTGGACATTGGATCTGCATCAAGCAAACCCTCGGCTGACCCATTTCATATCTTCAGGACGAAGGGAAGGCCAGGTCACCATTTGCTCTGGGGTTCCCTTGCTCACACCTGCCCTCACCTCCATCTCTGACTTTGAGGAAGAAAAGGGTCTTTGCCATATACAGTTCTAATGGGCAGCCCACAAGCCTCACTCCAGATAACATCTGTTGAGGGCTGGATTCCAGGTTAATAGAACTCAGCCCTGAGCCAGCCTGCAAGGCTTCCCAAGGCTTCTCACTGCAGACAGAGGCTGTGCCTCTCAACACACAGGTCTTGCTTCCCCCCCTCACCTCCTAGAGCTTCCCTCCCAACTCCACCCCTGCTCTGTTCCACCCAGCCCCACCCCACTAACTTTCGTGGCCTCAGTTTCCCTGGCTGAACAGAGGAGATGAGAATCCCGTCCTGCCTTGTCTAGAGAAGTCTGAGAGGGGCAAGATCTTCAAAGCCCAGGTGTCAGGAGGGGTTCACCCCCCCCCCC